CTATAACGTCACCCTGACGCAGTTGGCCCGGCGCTCACGTGGTGTTCTGGAACGTGATCCACCCCTGCCGGTTCCCAGCAGATCCAGAATCAAAGGGCACTTTCCCTACTGATGAATTTGAAAACAGAAATTTGGTGGTGATGAAGAAATGCCTGTTTTCTTCTTCTTTTCTCGGACAGATTGCATCCTTTCCAGAAGTTCCACCCTGTAGCTTGGGTGGAGCGTCCCATGACTGCGGGCCCCGGGAAGGGGACTGGCGTGTGTCGAGGGTGGAGCGTCCCGTGACTGCGGGCACCTGTGACCGCCTGCCAGAGCCGCGTGAGTCACTCCTTTCTCAGGTTCATAAGGGCGGATGGATGAGGCTGCAGAACCTCTCAGGGCGGAGACTGCAGGTGGCCATGGCTACATAAACACCAGGCCCGATGGGAAAAAAAAAAAGTCTCTATCTGTGAAACAATTAACAGAAAATTATCTGATTTTGGGATGGTAGAGGATGGAAAAGTCTTTCTCGACAGTTGCCAGATTCAGATTCAGATGCTTTATTCTCATTGTTGTTTCCACAGCAACGAAATGTAAAGGGGCATCCTCTCCAGTGTCACATCAAAACAATACAGTAAAATCCCATTATAACGGACTTCAAGGGACCTGGCAAAACAGTCCGTTATATCCAAAGCCCGTTATATCCAGAGTTGCTGTATGCCCAGAACACAACTACAGGACACCATTTACTCATGCCACACCCCAGCCACGCTTGTGGTATAGATTATTATATTGTACATGTAGTAATCCAACTTTACCTGAGCAGATGCGTGACTATTAATAATCCCGATTACATATCTGCGCTGGATATCACCGGCACGCCACACGCCTTGTAGGCGGAGCTGCATGTCTGTTATAGCCGAACAAAAGTACAGCTAAAAGTGAGGACCAAACTGTTTGTCCGTTATAAGTGAAATTCCGTTATGTGCCAGTTCGCTATATCCGATGTTTTTTCTGCACGTTTGTAAAGGTGCATGGCTGGGACCAGCGGACCTTGTCTGTTATAACGATATTCCGTTATAAGCGAGTCCACTATAACGGGATTTTACAGTAGACATATTAGTAACAATAAAACATCACAAACAGACCAGCACAATAAAGTAGTCATACCCATAGTTTCAAGTATAACCAATTTTAGTCGGTCAGCTGCTTATATGTTAAATTACACTCCTTTCTTTTTGTAAGAAATTATATATTTCTCTGCCACCCCAGCATGGCTCCTTCTCAAGCAATTTGACCATCGTGAACACACACAGCTCAGCTAGCAAGCTAACCTCCACACTAGTGTACTACAAATCCAGAAAACAAACTCAAAACTCAATGATGAAACTTAATTTATAATTACAAACACCGATGGCTAAAGATGACATATAAAATGATGAACTGTCACTCTGGGTCGCCAGGAAATGCTTATATGTCTTTGCATGCGACAGAATGAATGATTACTGTGAGCCAACATTATTAACAGCACGTGAAACTTGGCAGTCATGAGCTTTTGTGTTATTGGTAGTTTATCCTGTCTTGTTGAGACGTCTCCTAATCCTAATCACCATGCAGAGAATCCTGACTTTCAGGTGGGTCTAAAATTTCTGACTGCAGGTCCACCTGTCCAATCAACATTGCCTAGGCAAAAACTGTGCATGAAGTTCTTATAGATTCCCATTGGAGCAAGGTGTCCTGGCTGGCTCCGAAAATGTGTAATCAAAACATTTTCACGAGTAAGCTTTTGGTCTCATTTAGCCAAAGTGTACATGGATCTTCCATAGACCTCCAATTCTCGTTAGCATGATAACTCAAAAAGTATTTGTCTCTGTGACCAACTGGAAGAGAGATTTCCCCAAAATTGAAGCAGTGCTACATACTAATATCAAAGAAAATGGCAGTTTTGCACACTTGATCCCATTACCACAACAATTTAAAAAGTATTTAACAGATCTTTAAAGACATGGCTGAAGTTCTCAACCTGAGCAAATTGAGACAAATTGCACAAAATTGAAGCAACCGTGCTTCGTGACAACAAAGGAACCCCAATGGTACCTAACTGAAGGACAACGGTCGATTGTCCAATGTAATGATGTCTATTATTTTAGTAGTTGTGTCTTTAGCACTGGTACTGGTAAGTTAAAGTTTTATCAACCAGCAAAATATCGGCTAAGGATTGGCAGATATAGTGACAATTGTAATGGTTGTGCAGTGGTTAGTATTGTTGCCTCCTACCTTTGGGACTAGGATTTGCCTGCCATGGCTCTGTGTGTGTAGAGTTTGCATGTTGTCCTTGTGGGGTTTCCTCCAGGTACTCAGGATTCCCCTCAAGGTCCAAAACAAGCTGAGGTTAATTAGAGTTATCAAATTCCCTGTAGGTGTGAGTGAATGGTGTATGTGCCCTGTGATGGGTTGGCACCCCATCCTAGGCTATTCCCTGCCTTGTGCCCATAGCCTCCAGGATAAGCTCTGGACCCCCCATTACCATGAATAGGATGAGGAGTTACAGAAAATGGATAAATGGATGGATCGATGGATGGTTGGATGGATCGATGGATGGATGGTGTAACAAATATGGTAACTGCTTGGGATAAAAAATGCATCACCAGGCGTTAATGATGAACAAACAAGAGATCAGTATTTCACATGTGTTATTCATGACTTGATCATTCAGTAGTTTGCCTACCTTGCTGCATTTCATTAGACAATAAAATGTTTTTCAAATAAAGTAATTGCATTTTTTTTAGGTTATTCAACCAGTTCAATAATTAGTTGATGAACTGGGAAAAAACGGCAGATTAATCTACACAGAAAGAATCGTTAGGTGCATTTTTTATACACACCACAGTACATAAGGGTTGGCTTTTTGCCAGTTAACTGGAGCTTGTGTGAGTTTAGTCAAAAACAATCTAGGCAGCAGTAACATTTGATCTCCGAAGGAAATCCCATTGGGCTCTGTATGTGTCTGCGTGACGTTACTCAGTAGTTACTAAGAGTTACCGTTGGTGTGGCTGTTACAGTTCTTACTTCTATGACATGGAAAATGTTGGGTATAATGCAATGGGAAATAAATAGAATACAAGTACTTATACATATAAGGAATATAAATAATATAAATGACATTTTAATGATACACATAAAAAGTACAGATTGTGCAAATTGGCGTGTAAGTGGAATGTGCACAAAATGAATAGGTGTGGTTTTACACCTACATGTCACAACAAGGAATTGGATCATTCAGATAAAAGCACATTTATTAACTTTCACATTTCCAGGTGATCCATCCAGTACTTGGAAATTGTAGAGGTTGGAGGGTGCGGGAGGAGAAAGGACTAAATGGGGGCGGGGGGGGGGATGTAAGCGGAATACAATGTTGTCATCCTCACAGCATGTTTTCTAGTTGTATATATGTTCTTAATGGCCACTAAAATTAGGTATGCCTAGCTAGTTCTTTTGCCTCCAGAACTGCTTCAAGAGTAGAAGAGTTCACGTTGCCATCTTGCACATCAGTTTTACTGAGCTTTTATTTTCAGTGTTCCTGTTAGCTTTAAGTTATCTGGCTGTTCTGGTTAACTGCTTGGATCACATATGACACTCTTGCCGTCACTTGCGGCGCGTCTGGGGACCTCCAGTCAGCCTATGTCCCATCACAATACACTGACCTTGAATTGGGTGGCACCTGTCACAGATCCAAGTTCACGGCTGAGTCATCTGTCTCCACGAAGCAGTATATACACCTTTTTTGGTGTCATGTGATGCTGAAATGCATGCCGGCTTGCTTGGCAGGCCTGTTAGAAAAGAACAAGAGCAAGGCGGGCTTCTGAGCAGACCGACACAGATGCTCGGATAAGGGTGTGGCCTGGTATTGGCCCGTCGGAATGCAACCCCATCAAGACTGTACATGCTCAACATACATTGACATGCCTGAAAGCTTGTTCAATATGAGCTTCAGGTCAATTTTCACAACATTGTACTTCACTTCTATAGGAAGATTGACTGACATTGCAGGATGTGAAACATATTTGTGGATCCTTCTACTGAGGAACCCGTCAGACCCGCAGGATTCAAGTCAACTACTGTAGATAATTTAAAAGGCGTCGTGATTTTTAAGGCGTTGCGACTCACAGAAGGACCAGACATAATTTTTTTGAGTTTGAAATGTTTTTAGCCAGTTTAAAAAATAGAACAATAGAGAGTAAACTGGTCAAGTAGCAAACTGTGGAGATGGAGCTCCTTTGAGGTCTTGGGAGAGTGCAGCCAAAGGGCTTTGAAGGCTGCTATCAAAAGCCCAAGAGAAAGCCAAACCGGAAACCCAACAGTGCAAAGGAAAACAAGCTCCGCTGGAGATTAATGTCATCCTGACGGCCCGCCTACAGGAAGCGCGGAGGGTTCGAGCCTGGACCCGGGACACTCACACCAGAATACCTGCGGGCACCAGTCTGCCAGGCAAGGAGACTGAAAGGCTTGGTGAAGCTGGCCTAGGGGACTGGGAGACATGTGGAGAGTGATATGGGCCACTGGAAGGAGTGGTGAAGTCGACATATGACACTCTGATAAGGGGTTGCAATGGCACAAGGAACTGGGAGGACTGGTGGGTAGGCAGATATACCAAATCATCCGTCTGTTCATCCATCCATCCATCCATCCATCCATCGTTAAACCACTTATCCAGCACAGGATCATCAGGGGGTGGAGCTTAGGCATTACACAGAAGCTGGAGGCCCTAGATAGTACAGGAATAAAATATAAACCCCTCATACACATATGGTACCAAACCTGCAATCCTGGACATATAAGGTACTGATCATCCCCACTGGGTCACTATGTTCCGTTCAGGAATGACACACTCAGCACTTCTGGCAGATTGACCTTATCACATTAGGATAACCATATTACATTACATCCGTCTGTCTCCCATAGCCATTTATCCAATACAGGGTCATACCGAGGATGGAGCCAATCACAGAGAGCAGGGGTCACATGACAGGGGACTCCCAGGACAGGCTGTTGCTCCTTCGCAGGGCTGGCAGTACATGGGCAAGTCACTAGTTCAGCTACCCACATGCAAACCCAGACTAGGGAGCACTAATCGAGCCAGCAACTTTAGCAGCGCTGTCCACTGAGGCAGCATGCACTGAAGCTACTGAGGCATCGTACTCTGGTGCAGAATTACATTGCCTTGTGGATTCCTGCATCATCCCGGGTCAGAAGAAGAATCGATGTTTGGCCTGGCTTTTGTACAAGGCAAACGTACTTTGAAGTGCTAACACGCTTATGGAGAAGCAGAGATCTTCAGGGACAACGCCTCTCCCTGCCAGCAGGGGGCGTGCAGCCCGCATCCGGCCATTGTAGGGGATGGTGAGGCTGGAAGGGGGGGCACAAAGAGACAGCACCTCTAAGACTGTGCCATGTTTCACGGTCCTTCGAGTGGCCAGCCAGCTGCCCTGGCCAAGGAGCTGCTGGTGAGCCCTGCTGCCTCTGCTGCCTTTGCTGCCTCTGCTGCCTCTGCTGCCTTTGCTGCCTCTGCTGCCTCTGCTGCCTCTGCTGCCTCTGCTGCCTGCCGCCCTTTGTTTGCTCCTCGTAACGGGGTCTTATTAGCCCCCGTTACGGAGCTGACGCCTGGCACGCATATAGTGATTAATGGCCTCCCCGTGCTGACAGGAATCACATTTTCCGTTGTGGCCTGGCTGTCTGTGTGTGTTTTTGCCTATATAACTGCCCACGTATAAGAGTCCCGTCCCATGTGCAGCCATCTGTCTGAATTATTCACCAGTTTTCCATAGCCGCTTCTCCTGTGCAGGCTTGCAGGGATCCGGGGCCTCTCCCCAATTTGGTAACTCCAATTCACTTTAGCATGTTTATGGACTGTGGTAGGAAACCGGAGAAGCTAAAGGAAACCCCACAACCACAGGGGGAGAACGTGCAAACTCCACTGGCATAGAGCAGGAGTCGAGACCCGAGTTACATGTCTAAGTTATACGGAATGATCCTTAGCTTTCCCGGCCTCAGTTTGTGTACCGCTGTGTTTGTACATATAAGGCTGTGCAGATTTGGCTTGTGTTTGCCGATCCGTCCGTCCGCTGACTTGCACTGATAACATTTGTGGGAGTAGAGGAACATAAAATCCTTACTGCTGCATTGTCCAGGGTGAGTAAAGCACCCCCCTCCGTGGGACGCATTTCTTGCATTGTATGCTGTGGGCTTTGTCCACCAGTAACCATGAGTCACGTTGGAAACGGGACATTAGAGCCCAAAGCTGCATGACAGGTGTGCTGGTTTACTTTTAGCCCATTTCCTCCATGCGGTGGAAAAGGGTCGTTGTCCTGAGAGGAAGTCTATGGTCATTAATTTAACACCTACATCTGCGTTTATATTTGATGCGCGCACGTTTATTCACACTCACGCTGGTCCGGGAGTCAGTCTGGTCACTAAATGAAGACGTGTCGCAATACTTCCCCTTCTGTCAGGGATATATCCAGCAGCTGCTCTGGCTGGGGCGGGGGAGGGGCCGGGCATGACTGACAGGTAGGGAAGAGGCGCTGAATGGGGATGAGCGCGACAGAGAGGGGGCTGCTCGGGGACTCGTGCATGGGACAGACGCACATTACATAGTTTGCAAAAAGATAGCAGTGATTATTGTACGTGCTGAGTGCTTGGCTGTCAGTGATGGGGGGGGGTCAGATGTTAAGGGGACAGTGTCAAAATTAATCGTGACCCCTGACTGTATCGCTGGTTTCTGCGGTGCTCAGCGCAGAGCAGCGGGCGCTTAGGGCCGTGATGCCAACCTCGCTGTACTCTTACCTCAGCACTGTGGCATGCAGCGGGACACATGACCCACTCGCTCACTTTTCCCCCACGCATTCTCTCTCCTTCACTCTGCTCCCCCTCTTCTCTTCCTCTCTGCTTTTCCCCCCTTTCTTCCTGCCCGCCTCGTGGAGCGGGGTGGATGGGAGATGTGGACCGAGGGATGGAAAGAGATGGATGAGATGGAGGGAATCTGGCGAACGAGGCACCGATGCCAAGTTACTCCGACAGAGTCTGACCGGCTCCTGCTCTGCAGTCAGAGAGGCAAACTCTCCTCAACAGCAGCTCTCAGTGCACGTGTGTTATGTTTACATTACATTGTGGGAACCAAATGTTCCCCACAATGTAATAAAAACCTGTTATTTTGACATCGTGGGGGGCATTTTTCAGGTCCCCACAAAGATCTGTGAATGTTATCAAAAAACAAAAAAAGCCAATTTGTTTGATTACGTTTGGTTAAGGTTAGGGCTGGGTAGGGGTTAAGGTTGTCATGTTGGGACTAGAGTTCCCATGTCATGTTGGGATAAAAGTCCCCATAAAGATATAATTACAAACCTGTGAATGTGTGTGTGTGTGTGTGTGTGTGTGGTGTGACAGTGAAAGAGCCATTTTGTTTGAGCCTACGAATCGACCTGCTCTGTAGAGAATCTGATTTACAGTGGATGTCTAATCTTATTGCGTAAAATATGGGCAATGCAGATATTTTTTCCTGTGATATTTATTTCCCCAAATTTGGAACATAGTTTTCATTGAAATAAAATGTTCTTACATTTGTATCACCTGACTCTAACACATTCTCACACAGAGAGCACCTCTTTGCCACGATATTACATGGGTGCGTTTCCATGATTAAATTAACTACCAGCATTTGGCAAACGACTCTAATTCACCATGAATTCCACCCCAGCTCCAGGGGATCCGCGTGACATGGAACAGACTAAATACATCCCTGAATGTGAAGAGTGTGCAGCTCTGTGCCTCTGAAATCGCCAGGCATTTCCTCAAGCAGCTCCTGGAAAGCCAGCAAAAAATGTTATTAAAAAAGCCTGTATTACACAACGATTATAAATTGTAAAATTCCAAAAAAACAGCAGGAAAACTCATCAGCTCCCTCCCTTTGGGTGTTGCAGGATTACATACCTGTTTCCCTTACATCTTGCTTTTGGATTTTTGCAAACCCACCACCATATATGGCCCAGTGAGCGGCGCAGTTGTGTCGCACCTCCAGGGTTGCAGGTTCGAGCTTCACCCCTTCCCTCTTTGCCTGTCAGTGTGTGTGCCCTTTGTTCAACTTGCACCACATCCAGGGTGCCCCCCCCCCACCTTGGAGCCTGTGCTGCCTGGGGTGGACATTTGGAGGAAGAATATATATACGCAAACACCGACAAAATTCAAAAAGTCCCAGCATGGCATTTGTTCAAGATCCAGTGTAAGAGCTTCATAGTGACTTTGTCCAGGAGGGGGCAGTATTGAGATCCTAGGAACCTTGATAAGAGGTCTAGGCCTGTAGGAGATGTTTTAGCTTCTCCTTCATGTTCTCCTTAGATGAATTGCAGTCTCTTAAATAGTGATAGCGCATGTGCACCCATTTGATGAATTGGTATCCTTGCTCCCTCGGGTAGACTCGGGCCTATCACAGTTCTCGGTGTGATAAGTGCCTGTTGAAGATGGGTGTGTATATGCACTCAGGGTCAAGAGGTTCAGCTTCTGTGCGGCTAAGCATTAGAACAGCTAAGACGTGATTCTGAAGGTGGTGAGATTGTTGCCAGACTTGGTGGTTCCAGTGTCTCAGAAACAGTCACCCTCCTGGGATTCTCACACACTACAGCGTCTAGAGTTTATAAAGAATGGGGCAATAAACAACAGCCACCGAGCCAGCAGTGTTCCTGCGGCTGGAAACACCTCGCTAATGAGAGAGGTCAGAAGAGAATGGCCAGGCTCATTACAGCTAAAGGCTAACAATAACAGCTCGGGACAGTGTGTTCAGAAAGGACTCAAAAAACTCACAGCTGGTCATCACTTAAAGCAATTCTGGAGGCAAAAGTGGGTCCTACCTGGTACTTAGTCGGCAAACCTAATAAAGTGGCCACTGATTGTAGACAGAT